TATTGCTTGTACTGTTGAACTCTGCAACTTTGATCCTTTAAAGTCCTTTTAAGCTATTGCCTTTACACATACCCATTTAACTTTTAGCAAATCAAGACCCTTTAACAAGATAGAGTAAAAATTAAATGTATCTTTCTTCTTAATACTTACTTTTTTTAAAAAAAAAAAAACAAACAAAACCTCACAATGCTTCAGTAATCCACAATTGTGATACACAGAATTTACTCTTAGTGCTGTCCAGAATTTATTCCCCATATTGACCTACTGCCAAGTAAGGTAAATTTCATTTTCAGTCCTCAAATAATACTAAGCAAGGGCTCATGGGAGGTTTTTCTGTTTGCTTAACATTAAACTCTCTTCTTTGACAGGTAGTGATGGGCAGAGCATGGTGGATAGAGGTGTTCCTTTCAGTTTTAGACAATGCCATGCCCATTTGTCTCTTTTGAAATGACAGTTTTTACAAAACATATTAAAAAAATCTGTGGTCATAGGTGATAATAGGAAACAGTGCTTACTTTGCTATTGTTAAGCAGTTCACTTATATGGGATCATAATCACTCATCCACTGTTCTGAAATCTAGAAAGCTCTGAAAACCAAATGTTTCTTTAATAAGCTTGTTGTCAAATCTGCTTTGGTAGTAAAGCCTGACCTTCACTGACATGAGGCTATTAAGGGCTTTATCTCACTTAGTGTGAGTATTCATTCATTTTGCTGCATTTTGTGTGAGAGTATGGGGTACTGATCCAGGACACAATGAGGGTGTTAGGTAGTAAGATGGTGTGCATACCCTGTTCTGTTAAAAAAAAAGCAGGAACATATACGGTACCAAGGATTTTGGAAAAGGGATTGTATAGCTGCACTTTATCTTCAGATAAGCTTTTTAAAGTGGATACCATTATCATCTCCATTTTTAAAATGAAGAAAGGTTAAGTAATTGCTCAAGGTCATATGGCAAATAAGTGGCAAAGTTGAGACTAATTTGTGCAGTTTGGCTCCAGAGTCCATGCTCTGAACCATTAACTATACAATGCTGTTTCTCTTACTGCTCTTCTGTAAAACCATAAGCATATAGATCAACTGTAGCATAAGATAAAATTTAGTCAAAATTTGCTTGCTTAAAATTTTAATACCTTTGATTTATGGTTTAAGAAGTTGGATATATCAGAGAACCAATAAGCTATATTCTGCCGATACTTCAGCATTTTGCTAACATTGTGAGCTATCCAAAATGCCAATGTGTGAGTGGCAAACTTACAACCCATTTAGCAAACTTGTAGTGCAATGTAAAAATTATGATTATTCAAAATTTCAAAGTTATATAAAAGAGACAGCAGATAATGAAAGCCATATACTTACTAATGTTTACTTTTTAACAGCATTCAATTTATGGCCCATTTTGTCTCATTTATACTTCACGTGTGTTCCTCTCAACCCATACTATTTTGAAGCAAATTTCAGACATAGGACTTGATTATTATATTTAAGTCTGAAATGTTTCTGTAAAAAGTAACTTTACCTCATCAACTATTTGGTTACTTGCATCATAATTCATATAGGAAAGACAGGATAAATCTGCTTCATTCTTTTCCTTTATTTACCAGTTCTCACAATTAAAGTTGGTTCCTTTCTATCATCCAAAATGAACAGCAAGGTTTTTGGCTTGTGTATTGGATCGATTAGTTGGATCTTTTTGAATTTAATATTTAAATATGTTTGTGCTTCAATCCATTACAGTTACCCTATTGATGCTTTAAATTATTCTATCTTTGGCCAGAGGGAACCTTCTTAAACTGGTTTCTGAGTCCTTTTGGTATGACCCTCATAGCCTTTGATTGCTTCCTCCTGTAAAACCTTTCAGGTTCTTCTAGTACATTTCCTGCCCCATATCTAAGATCATTTTTCTATGTATACACCAAATTAATCCATTTTTCTATGGAGCCCATGTTCCTTAAATGGGAAAGTGTGTAACGAGATCACAGTCTGGGCACAAGGGGTGCTTCTTGCTACATGGTTGGTTGTTTCTAAATCTTTTCAACGGATGATGAAGGGCAGATTTGGGTTTGTTTTTTTTAAAATTTATTTATTTTTGGCTGCGTTGGGTCTTCGTTGCTGCGCGTGGGCTTTCTCTAGTTGCGGCTGGTGGGGGCTACACTTCGTTGCGGTGCGGGGGCTTCTCATTGCGGTGGCTTCCCTTGTTGCGGAGCACGGGCTCTAGGCTCGCGGGCTCTAGAGCGCAGGGCTCAGTATTTGTGGAGCACGGGCTTAGTTGTTCTGCGGCATGTGGGATCTTCCCGGAGCAGGGCTCGAACTCGTGTCCTCTGCAATGGCAGGCGGATTCTTAACCGCTGCGCCATCAGGGAAGTCCCTAGTTTTAGTTTATAATGTAAAATATTTACATGATTCTAAAGTCACAAGTATATAATGTATATTCAGAGAACTTATCTTCTTTGTCCCCTATACCTATATTCCCTCCTTCCCCCATAGGTAATCATTTTAATGTTGTTATTCTATTTGTAAATAACAATTTATATACATAAATCTATACATATATATTCCCTTTCCTCAATAAATGATAGCATATTGCACATTCTTCTTCTACTGTGCTTTTTCCACTCAATAATATATCCTGCAGTGTATAGTGATATTTCTCAATCCTCTTTTACGCCTGCATAGCTCTACATTGTGTGAATATACCATAGTTTATTCATCAGTCTCCTGTTAATAGACGTTTGAGTTTATTGTTTAAAACTAAATTTTAACATTAATATTTTGGGAGGGAAATTCTATGTTAAGAATGGCTGTTACAGTACGATAGAACACAACCTCATGTTCTTAAAGCCCCATCACATTTTGTCTCCCCTGAGCCAGAATGACCACAACTTAATATTTAGCCATTTAAAATAGCACCATGTGCACCTCCCAACAGTTGGATTGGTTTGTCTGCTCTTGCAATGAGACTAACATATTTTTAGAAGCCTTTCTCATATATTGTTCTCATGCGTTCTTTAAAAAAAATCTATGTATTTTTCTCTATATCTTTATCACATATCACTCAGGGGCAAACCAGCTTGTTTATTCATTTTGAATCAACTAAGAGGAAAGCTATATTTCCTGTATGTGACAAAATAGATTGGTGGCAAGTAAGCTGAGAAAGCACTTTTTAAAGTTGCTCTGCTTATTGGTAAGGGGTGGCAAAGTACGAAATAATAGAACAGTACTTCCTTTAGAGGCAGAGTCTTTTACATGAAGAGTAAACGAGTTAATACTGTACAGTGCTTTAGAATAATCCTTGGCACATATCAAGTACTGTGTGTTTTTGCATTGCTATTATTTGAAAGAAAAAATCCAGATAATGTTACTCAATTAGCAAGTTACTAATGGAACTTGTTCTCATAACGGTATCTGAAAAAATTATTTGAAGATTATGTAAGCCTTTGGTAACAAACTGTTGTATTTTCTTATGATCATAGTACTTAATGCGGGTGATTTTATGTGTCTGAGCGTAAGTTTATTTTGATGATACCAACTTTGATCAGTTAAAGTTGAATCAATAATGCTCACCTTAACTGTGCTCTGTACTACGCAGCATACTATGAGAACCGAGGGCGCCAAGAGTAGAAGTATGGGAGATGGGCGTTCAAATAATTATGATAAAATAATTAAGCAATTGCAATTTAAATAATTATAAAATAATACAACGATAAAAATACAACTCCACAAAGCGGCATTTGACCTTGGTGAGTTTTCGGATAGTTACGAAGAGAGCCAAGAGTATTACTACATAATATTCAAGGACTCCAAAGATCCTCCATCCTCCGGTTGGCCACCAGAAAGTGCTGCCAACTACGGGCAGGCCCCACGTATGAAAGTGAGAGCGGCAACTTCGGCTCTAATTAAGAAAACAGTAAAACTCCGCCTCAATGCAACGCAATGAGAAGGAAGAAGGGAAGGAGAGTCAGGCTTTCTACTCAACCCGTCCCAGGGTCCTTTAAGCGCCTTATCCCTTCCTCCCAAGGAGGACAGTCCAGCCTGGCTCTCTGGCCCTGGCGGGAGAACGCAGGGAACCGCAGACGGTGCCTCTCGAGCCCGGTCCCCGCGGACCTGCCATCGGGACCCGCGCTCCCAGCCCCCGCCCGGCCCGCGTGGCCCGGCTTCTGCCCCGGCGGCCCCCGGCGCGGCGGGGGTCCGCCTCCCCGCGCAGGCCGGCCTAGGTGTCCCGGCGGCTCCCGGGCGCCCCCTGGCCCGGCTCCGGCGCCCGAGGTTTCCGGTGAGCTGCAGTCGCCGGTTATGACGACTCCCTCCTCCGGAGCAGCCGCCGCCGCCGCCGCTTCTCCGCAGCCCCGGTTCGCCCAGCTCCAGGTGGGACTCGCCCCGGGGTCCGCGGAGCCTTCACCCGCCCCCCTGTGTGCCGCGGCCGGCTGAGCGGCTCTTGGGGCCGGGCGCGCGGTGGGCGCTTCTGCCCGCTCCCGGCGCGGCTTCCCGGAGGGCTGGCGCCTCTCCACGGGTCTGCCTGCGCCTTCCCATCGCCCGCGGGCCGAAGAGGCGGACGTGGGGAAGGCGATCCTGACCCTCCCGACTCCGAGCGCTCGGTCTGTTCATGGCGCCTGTAGCGGCGCACGGGACCCCGGGGGCCCTCCGGACGCGGGGAAGAATGCCGGCTCCCCGGCCGGCGCCCCCTTGACCGGGTTTCCCAGGCCGGGGCGGAGCCGCTCTCCAGGCCCCTCCCAGGCGCGCCAGGGACCGGGGCTGGGGAGTGCGGTGTTGGGTGTTGGGCGGTCCCCGGGGATCTCTGCGCCCCAATTCCTGCGCAGCATCGAGGCCGCCGAAGGGCGCTTGCCGCTGACCTCCCCCCCCCCCCCCCCCCCCCCCCCCCCCCCCCCCCGCCCTGGTTTCACTGACGTTCTAGCAGACAGCTGGTGGACCTCACCTGGGCATCTCAGACAGGCCCTTTCTAACTTCCTGCCGTGGAAAACTTCTAGCATTTGTCGGGGCGAGCAGTTTTAGGAGGAGTCCTTGTGGGTCTCAGATGCGTTTAACTTTTCACCCGTCCACTGCCTTCTTTAAACTTTTGCAAGCTCTGTCACAGAACATCACCCCCTCTCACCCGTTGTGTTCCCTATCAGCCTCGGGCTTTCATGTCTCATCATCTTTCAGGCTTCTCCCTTTTTCCTTTCTCCTTCTTAGGCCTGTGGAAACAGCTGTTTTGTGCTGAAGGAAAAAGTAGCTCAGCTGCTAAAGCTTCTATCTGCTGGGGAAGTGCGCCCTCCCATCCCTCAGGGGCTCTTGCAAGAGAACTCAACACCAGAAGGGCTCTGCCAGGCCCCGAGGTTGTGCTTCCAAGCACTAGCAGCCACTCCTAGTTTATCCAAGTGGGTGCATGCTCTTTGCAAAAGCCAGGTTTCTGATCTGAGTCTTTAGATTTTTCCCTTGACCTAAGCGTTACTCCTTCATGGATCAGTGGATTTAGTTATGGCTAGAGCTCAGTCCAGGACAATGGATTTGGATAACCAAAGGTCAAGACTTGGTCATAGCAGTGACCTATTTCATGGAGGGATGAGCAAAGGATTGGCCATTCTGCCTGTTGAATCTGAAAGCTCAGATTTGTAGTAGAGCCTAGGGAGCAGTTTGATTCGGTGAGTCGGATTACTTTGGTGAGAACCAGGCAGATTGTTTTCTCCGAGGAATGTTTTATCTGCTGAGTGTCCTGTTGGCCTGTACCAGTTGGTGCCTGTAGAAAGTGGGTCATCTCCTTCCTGCTGGCTGTTAGAATCTGTTCTGTTAAGTTGCTGTCTTGAGGGTTATGACCTGCAACCTTGCTTTTAGCAGTATGTATTTGTTAAGGCCAGGAAAGGGCACCTGAGCCAGGCCTTCTGCTTAAGGCGTGTCTCACTACATGCCAGTCCCTCTGCTTACAGGTATATCTTGTTAAATTATCTTCTCTCTTAATATTTTCTTTAATTCAAAATATCATCTGGTTGTGAAAGTCTATTTTAACATCCTTTTAAGGTAATATGTTTCATTTCTGACAGATTTTAGATATCTGAAACATCACAACAGCTTCTTGGTGGTTCTCAGGATTAAAGAGGTAAATATTTTCATTATAATGTTGCTATTAATATGTATTTTTAAATTTTGTGAAATTGCTTTCAACTCACGGTTGGATAAAAGTCCCAACTAAAAATATTAATTCAGGTGAGCTTTATAACAAATAACAATATACTCCTTTTAGGGTTGCCTAAAAGAGCCACTGTATTTCCCACTCCAGAGGGGAAAGGGATTTCTTCTTGGTGTCCCAACTGTTTAGTTATGATTACTTGGCCTTGGGACTTGAGGCCTGATTGAACATAGCAGTCTATTACTAAAGGCTCCATCTTCATCGCCCATAGTCAGTGAAGACTGATTTTGAACGCTGGGTTTTCCAGTGTGCTCCAGTGACAGCAGACCCTGCTGGGGAGCTGCTCATGTGTACCAGGGCTCTATCATCTGGTGGGAAGACAACTTAAAAAAAATAGAGCAAAGAAACCACTAAAGTGAACCCAAAATGGCACGATTATTATCTGTGAAATATAAGTGAAATCTGGTCTAAGAGATTTAATCCTTCTAGGGTGAGTTAGAAATGCAGTAAGGGCCGTGACCATCATCTCTTTTCACAATACTAAGGCGGGGCAGGGAGAGTTTAAGGGCACAGCCCTGAGGCAGACTAAGAAAACTCACTCCTGGAGTTTTCTTAGTTTTAGTCTTAGTTGTTAATAACGTAGATGTTATTATTATTTTTTTAATATTTATTTGGCTGTGCTGGGTCTTAGTCACAGCATGTGAGATCTAGTTCCTTGACCAGGGATCGAACCGGGGCCCCTGCATTGGCAGCACAGAGTCTTAGCCACTGGACCACCAGGGAAGTCCCCATAGATGCTATTATACCCCCTAGAATGTAAGCTCCACGAGGGCTGAGGAGTTTAGTTTTCAACTGTACGTTCCTTGCTGCATCCTGGTACTTAGAAAAGTAGCATATTCTCACATACTACAGTGATTGTTAGTTTTTATTCAGCAGGTACACACTTGCTTGGAACCATTGTACTTCCTTTCTTCTCTCTTCCTGGCATGTTTTCACTGCTTCTCATCTGGCAGGTCTGAGCTCAAACGTTACTTAGCAACCCCACCCCATCCCATGTAGCTTTAAACGTTTATTTAATAAACACTTAACGTAGCATTTAACATGCCAGGTACATCTAGACACGTTACCAATATTTAACTCACAACAGCCCTATGGGGAAGGGTTATTCTGATTTCCATTTTACAGATGGAAATGCTGAGACACAGAAAGATTAAATAACTTGCTCAAGGTCAAACAGTTTAGGCTGCAGCCACACTCAAATCTCAGTGGACTAGCTTCAAAGTCTATATGCTTAACCAGTGTACTGTGTTGTGTATCACGTTACCTTACTTACTCAGACAGGGTCCTATCAAGGTCCTCCTCCCATCTTTGTAAATAAAGTTTTATTAGAACACAGCCCCCTTTCCTCTAGCGTAGCTATGGCTGCTTTCCTGATAAAGGCCCTGTTGAGGAGTTGTCTCAAACACTGCCTGACCTGCAAAGCCAAAAATATTTACTACCTGGCCCTTTCCAGAAAAAGTTTGCCAGCCCTCGGTTTATTTGATTCACAGCCTTTGTCATCACCTGCAGTTATTTATTTGATTGTTTATGTCTACTCCACTAGCTTGTAAGCTCCGTGAGAGCAGGGGTCTTTCCTGCTTTGCTCACCTCTGTATACCTAGCTCCCAACACAGTGCCTGGCAAATGACAAGTGCACAATCAATATTTGTAGAGTAAAGGAACATTATTCAGTGAAATAGCGAAGTTCACTGTAATTGTGCTTAGCCCTTGAGCCTTTGGCTTTGAAAGGGTATGTGTTAATGAGGATGTTGTCAATTTGACCTTTAGGTTTGGAGGTTGCTATGTTCATGCTGCTTGTCTTTGGAGCATTGCTTCATGAAGTTCCCCTGAGTGGCCAAGACGAGGTTCCTCCCCAGGCTGATGGCATTCTGGGTGCCCCTCTGTTCAACTATGCCAGCCTCCGCCTGCCAGAAGAGCATATTCCCTTCTTTTTGCACAATAATAGGCATATTGCCATGGTCTGTAAGAAAGACTCGCATTGTCCTTATAAGGTAAATACTATTCTCTCCTTGTATATTTTTAAAAGGAAGCAATTTAGGCTGGTTCACTAGTTCCTCATTGTAACTTGAACCTGAAAGTAGACTTCAGTCTCTTGGTTGTAACTGTGGGTCTGTCAGTGTCTGTATTTCATCTAATGCTTCTTAGTGACTCAACTTTGCTAAGAATTATGTCCCACTCACAGAGGTGAGATTTTAAATCTAAATCACTAGTGAAATAAATAGGCAGCCTATACTATTTGTATACTCTGTAAATGAAGTGAATTAGATTTGATGCAGAAAAGAATATCTAGTTAAAAGTAACTGGAGAATTTCACACCTCTCCTTAATCTGCACTTCAGAGGATCTCTCAGCACTTCATTTTGGTAATAACACCTCCACCTCTGTCTCCAAATAATGAAGACTATTACTGCAGCCTTCCTTCTGTTTTAGTTGTTGGAAAGGTTTCAGACTGGAACCCATTCAGACATCTCAGAGGCCTCAGAGATCAAAGCAGGGCATTGTGAGCCATTTCCTTTCCCATGGTGCTGGCACAGGAAGCATGCGGAGAGGCAGGGCTGGGAATCAGATCAGGACTGCTCCTGGGGCCTCGCAGAACAGCATCCTAAGCTTCCTGGCCGGCAGCAGCTGCTATATCCCGCAAAGGCTGCAGAGCTGTGACATCTTCCGGGATCTCTGCTGGTCTCGATTGATGAGTAAAGCTGCTGATCCCTTCAGTTTAGTTGTGATTCTTCTGGTGAAAGAAATTCCAATTTTTGTGACTCTCTAGGGACTGATTTTAGGATCAGTTTCCTCACTGATTTCATTAAGCTACTTCAAGAAACTCCAATTCAGGGGAGGAGGTTAGGGGAGGGATGGAGTGGGAGGTTGCGGTCAGCAGATGTAAGCTTTTGTATATAGAATGGATACATAAGGTCTTACTGTAGAGCAGAGAACCATATTCAGTATCCTATGGTAAATCATGATGGAAAAGAATAAATTAAAAAAAAGGATGTGGGTATATATATATATATATGTATAATTGAATCACTTTGCTGTATGGCGGTAATTAATACAACACTGTAAATCAACTATGTTTCATTTAAAAATTAATTAATTAATTAAGTTAAAAAAATGGCAGTTCAAATGATCTGTGGTAGTCTAGCTAAAACCCAGATTTTTGGTGGGAGGACAGGCCTGGTGGGGGAGGGGTTGGTGATTAAGGATAATTGTTGTTAAGAAACTTGAGACTGCTTTTTTTAGAATTTACTTGTTTCTATTACATGAATAAGTATTATAAAACATGAAGGTGAAAGTTATATAAAAATTTGTTTTCCTCACTGAAAAAAATCTGAGTCCTCTCTAAATGTCAGAAGAAGGTAGACAAGTCTAAACATATACCTCTTATGTTCCAGAAACACTTAGAAAATTTAAAGTACTGCTGGGGTTATGAGAAGTCCTGCAGACCAGAGTTCAGGTTTAGTTACCCTGTTTGCACCTACGTGGATATGGGATGGTAAGTTTCTGGATGGAATACCTCTTCCCCTGTACTTTGTCTACTTTCTCTGCAGTGTATACTGAGGCTCCAATCCCCAGCTAGACTCTTTTGGTATTAGATAGTAATTCCTTTAGATATTAATTTGCTTACACAGTCATGAGTTCAACTTGACTGTCTCCCACTGGGACAGGAATAGCTCTCATTTCCTCTGCCAGAGAGAGAAAACAGTATGGATCACAGAAAATATTTTCCCCCAGCATATGCTAAGAAGATAAATGGATGGTTTCTCTTGGTTCTGGAGAAGAGAGTTAAGTATAATCAGTATTTCCAACACACGCAAGGTTCACGGGGTAAAGAAAATACAGTAATTAACAGTTCATTGTCTTCAGTTCCAGATGATCCTAACTTCATACCTTTCCATTTTGTATTTTTATTATAAGGGAGTAAGTCTATAAATAACTTATTTTGCTTACATCATGTGGTGAGGGATAGATTTTTAAATTATGATAGTTTACTTAAAAAAAATAATGACTGACTTCTAGCAATTTGACGCTTAGAAAGAAAATTTAAGGTCCAGAAAAAGTAAAAAGATGAATATCACAGAATTTTTTGTTTTCTAACAGGACGGACACTCTTGAATCAGCCCAGGAAATATTCTGGAAGCAAGCTGACTTTGGGTATTCTGGAGAGCGGCTGGAGGAACTCCATGTGCTCTGCCAGCCGAAGGGAATGGTGGGTGTTTAACCCCTTCATAAACGAGTGTGTTTATTCAGAAACACCCGTAGTATTTATTTATTCATTTATTTATTGAGGCATAGTTGATGTACAATATTATATAAGTTACAGATATACAATATAGTGATTCACATTCACACTTTTTTTTTTTTTTTTTTTTTTGTTTTTGGGGCCCTTCTCTTTTTTGTCCTCTCCCGTTGCGGAGCACAGGCTCCGGACGCGCAGGCTCAGCGGCCATGGCTCACGGGCCCAGCCGCTCCACGGCATGTGGGATCATCCCAGACCGGGGCACGAACCCGTGTCCCCTGCATCGGCAGGCGGACTCTCAACCACTGCGCCACCAGGGAAGCCCACACAGTCACACTTTTAAAAGTTATATTCCATTTTTAGTTATTATGAAATATTGGCTATATTCCCTGTGTTGTACAAGATATCCTTATAGCTTATTTTATACGTAATAATTTGTATCTCTTAATCCCCTACACTCATAGTGGTTAGATCATAATATAAAAACAAGATAGATGGCACTATGAAAGGAATCCCTCCCTCTCTGGTCCAGTGGCATCGGTAATACCTGCTCTGCCTATCTGCTATACTGTTTGTGAGAATCAAGCCAGCAAACATACAGAAAAGCGTTTTGCAAGCTGCAAAGTGCTAACAAACGCAGCATGGTGAGGGTGTATCACGTGTCCCAAACTACTTGCAAGGGCATTTATAAAGATGTAGTTTATCAACCTATCTTCTTTAGTATATGTTGGGGGGAATAATTCTAAACCCAGAAATATTTTAATTGCCTCAAGCTATGACTATCTGATATGTTTGAGAGGAGGACATGGCTTCCAACTGCTTTCAAAACTGAATAGATGCTGTATAGTGCTTTTGGAGGGTGTCGCGTGAAAGAACTTGAAGCGATTCTAGCAAGGTGGCTGAACCAGAAGATGGAGGCAAGGCATTAACCTATACTGCTGAGGGGTGTCTTTAACAGACGACGTTTTACACTTTGTTTGGAGTTTAGCTGTTCATGTGGAAAGGGCAGGGAAGGGCCCCATCTCCACCTCGCACACCTCTTCCAAGGCGGTTTGCAGAATGCTTTCCTCACCAAGATCTGCCTTGTTAGGTTTTGTGCTATGGGTATGACCCCTTACCAACTCCAGATTCCAAAACACCATTCAGGGACTTCCCTAGTGGCACAGTGGTTAAGAATCCGCCTGCCAATGCAGGGGACACGGGTTCAAACCCTGGTCCGGGAAGATCCCACATGCCACGGAGCAACTAAGCCCGTGCACCACAACTACTGAGCCTGCGCTGTAGAGCCCGCGAGCCACAACTACTGAAGTCCGTGCACCTAGAGCCCGTGCTCCGCAATGGAAGACGCCACCTCAATGAGAAGCCTGCGCACTGCAACGAAGAGTAGCCCCTGCTCACCGCAACGAGAGAAAGCCTGCGCAGCAACGAAGACCCAATGCTGCCCAAAATAAAAATTAAAAAATTTGTAAAAAAAAACCAAAAACAAACAAAAACTCCTTTACCTCAGTGAGTTAGAAAACATGGCTCTCACGCTGCCGTGGAGACAGAGACTCTCACAGGTTTTAAGGTTTGCAGAAAGTACCTCTAATTCAAATTGGCAAACTGCCCTTCCTGCCTTGCATTTTAATGACTCTGACGGGTGCTTTCTTGCTTGTTTCCTTTGGCTGGTCTTTGGAAAATGCTTTTTCACATAGCTGTGGGGTTAGTGAGGGTTCTGAGTGCATTATTTTTTTTCCAGGAGGGTGAAATGAACTACAAATACAGCTGCTGACTCTCTAAAGTTTGAAGGTGATAGAACATTTAAGCGTGCGTCGTAGTAACCTAAAAGTGTGCAAATTGGTAAAAGTATGCTTGGCCAGTGTCTGCCGGGGAAAACAAGTGGTCTTCGGAAAGCACTTTTCATCACATCGTGTGGTTGGAACCTGAAGGCAACATGCTGTCAGCATGATGTCAGACAACTCCGGTCTGTCCTGGAATTGTTAATAATCCCAGTTATTTTTTTCTTATTTCTCAACCTTATTTCAGAATGACTCAAGTCTAGTGTGTTCCCGTTACCTTCAGTACTGCAGAGCGACCAATCTCTACCTTGATTTAAGAAACATCAAGAGAAACCACGACAGGTACTTCAGTGGGAGATGTTAAAATCTAAGGGAAATCCTGAAATATTTGCAGTTTCAGGATTTGCAAGCCTTGGATTTGCTTCCTAATAATATGGTGATGAGGTTGGGGAATGGGGGAGGGGATGAATGACCCACATTGGTCATAATGAGTTGATCATTATGAAACTGGGTGATGGGTACATTAGATTCCTTATACCATTTTGCTACTTCTGTGTATGTTTGAAATATTCTATTATAAAGAGTTAACTTCTAATGAAAAACTGATTTTGGAAATTGGCAAACCACTTTAGTTACAACCCACGTGTCAGAGTCATGAAAAAATCTTCCAAGCTTAACTTAATTTTTTGTTGTACACCAGATTTAAGGAAGATTTTTTCCAGAGCGGGGAAATTGGAGGACACTGTAAACTTGACATTCGTATGTTGATGTCTCAAGGCCAGCGCAAAAGCCCTTTGCAGTCTTGGTAAGATTTTTTTTTTGGAAAATATGTTTCTGAAATATTTGTCTTCTCAAATGGAAAATGTTACTCTATTACTCTATTTGTAGATAATTTGGCCTGAGCTTCTGGGGAGTGGTGGCTCCAGAGTGAATCATCAGTTGTATCCGAATTAAATATATATTTATAAAATATTCGGAAGTATGATATAATACTTACTATTTGCTAATGAAAGAAAAAAGTTCAAAACTGAATTTTTTTAACTCATAATTTCTGCATGTGTTTTGGGGAACATTTAAAAAATATATACATTTACTGAAGTACATACCAAGCATATAGAGAAATGTACAGTTTGGATTATGAAAAAGTGAACCCACTTGAGTAACTCTTACCTGGGTCAAAAATAGACCATCATCCACCCAGGTTCCCTTCCAGACACAACCTCCATCCTCCTTTCCAAAGGTAAACACTACCCTGACTTTAAGCACCTTTGAGAAGCTTTTTGATTGGAGAACACATTTTGATTTAAAACATTTTGAATACTAAACTAGTTCTATCAAGAAATTTACCATCTTTAGATATTAAAGAATTAGGGTACTTTAAAAGCTTTTTATTTTAAGATAACTTGAGATTTGTAGACATTTAAAAATAGTTTAAAGATGGTACAAGAAGTTTAAAAAGGGGCTTCCCTGGTGGCGCAGTGGTTGAGAGTCTGCCTGCCGATGCAGGGGACACGGGTTTGTGCCCCAGTCCGGGAGGATCCCACATGCCGCGGAGCGGCTGGGCCCGTGAGCCATGGCCGCTGAGCCTGCGCGTCCGGAGCCTGTGCTCCGCAACGGGAGAGGCCACAACAGTGAGAGGCCCGCGCACCGCAAAAAACAAAAAACAAAAACAAGAAGTTTAAAAATAGTACAAGGAGTTTCCATTGTACCCTTACCCCCAGCTTCCTCTAATGATAACATCTTACATAACCATAGCACAATGATGCAAACCAGGAAATTGACATTGGTACAATATTATTAACTAAACACATTTGGATTTCATCAATGCTTACATGCATTCTTTATTTTTTAGGGGGATGTATAGCTCTATAAAATTTATATCATATGCTTAGGTCCATGTAACCACTATTACAATCATGCTACAGAATTGTTCTGTCATCCTAGAAATTGTCATGCTCTCCTTTACAGTCACACAGGACACTCATATAATGTTCATTTTTTTCTTTTTATTGAGGTATTGTTGATGTACAATATTATATAAGTTTCAGGTATGTAACATAGGGATTCACAGTTTTTAAAGGTCATACTCCATTCATAGGTACTATAAAATATTGGCTGTATTCCCTCTGTTGTACAATATATCCTTGTAGCTTATTTATTTTATACCTAATTGTTTGAACCTCTTAGGCTGTATTCCCTCTGTTGTACAATATATCCTTGTAGCTTATTTATTTTATACCTAATTGTATGAACCTCTTAATCCCTTACCCCTGTCTTGCCCCTCCGCAATTCCCTCTCCCCATTGGTAACTGCTGCACCAGTTTACGTTCCCGGCAACGGTGTATGAGGGTTCCCTTTGCTCCACATCCTTGCCAACATTTGTTATTTGTGTTTTTTTGGTGATAGCTATTCTGACAGGTGTGGTTTTGATTTGCATTTCCCTAATGATTAGCGATGTTGAGCATCTTTTCATGTGCCTGTTGGCTCTCTGCATGTCTTCTTTGGAAAAATGTCTACTCAGTTCTTTTGCCCATCTTTTAATGGAGTTGTTTGTTTTTTTGATGTTGAATTGTATGAGCTCTTTACATATTTTGGATATTAACCTCTTATCTGTCATATCATTTGCAAATATAGTCTCCCATTCTGTAGGTTGTCTTTTCATTTCGTCAACTGTTTTCTTTGCTTACAACTACTTTTAAGTTTACTTAGGTCCTGGGACTTCCCTGGTAGTCCAGTGGTTAAGACTCCATGCTTCCACTGCAGGGGACACGGGTTTGATTCCTGGTCAGGGAACTAAGTTCCCACATGCTGCACCACTTGGAGTGGCCAAAAAAAAAGTTTACTTAGGTCCTATTTGTTTATTTTTGCTTTTATTTCCTTTGCTTTAGGAAACAGATCAAAAAAAATATTGCTATGATTTATGTCAAAGAGAGTTCATTTTTGAGGTCAAACATTCATGCTAGGACTTCCCTGGTGGCACAGTGGTTGGGAGTCCGCCTGCCGATGCAGGGGACACGGGTTCATGCCCCGGTCCGGGAAGATCCCACATGCCGCGGAGATGAACCTCTTAATCCCTTACCCCTGTCTTGCCCCTCCGCAATTCCCTCTCCCCATTGGTAACTGCTGCACCAGTTTACGTTCCCGGCAACGGTGTATGAGGGTTCCCTTTGCTCCACATCCTTGCCAACATTTGTTATTTGTGTTTTTTTGGTGATAGCTATTCTGACAGGTGTGGTTTTGATTTGCATTTCCCTAATGATTAGCGATGTTGAGCATCTTTTCATGTGCCTGTTGGCTCTCTGCATGTCTTCTTTGGAAAAATGTCTACTCAGTTCTTTTGCCCATCTTTTAATGGAGTTGTTTGTTTTTTTGATGTTGAATTGTATGAGCTCTTTACATATTTTGGATATTAACCTCTTATCTGTCATATCATTTGCAAATATAGTCTCCCATTCTGTAGGTTGTCTTTTCATTTCGTCAACTGTTTTCTTTGCTTACAACTACTTTTAAGTTTACTTAGGTCCTGGGACTTCCCTGGTAGTCCAGTGGTTAAGACTCCATGCTTCCACTGCAGGGGACACGGGTTTGATTCCTGGTCAGGGAACTAAGTTCCCACATGCTGCACCACTTGGAGTGGCCAAAAAAAAAGTTTACTTAGGTCCTATTTGTTTATTTTTGCTTTTATTTCCTTTGCTTTAGGAAACAGATCAAAAAAAATATTGCTATGATTTATGTCAAAGAGAGTTCATTTTTGAGGTCAAACATTCATGCTAGGACTTCCCTGGTGGCACAGTGGTTGGGAGTCCGCCTGCCGATGCAGGGGACACGGGTTCATGCCCCGGTCCGGGAAGATCCCACATGCCGCGGAGCGGCTGGGCCCGTGAGCCATGGCTGCTGAGCCTGTGCGTCCGGAGCCTGTGCTTCGCAACGGGAGAGGCCACAACAGTGAGAGGCCTGCGTACTGCAAAAAACAAAACAAAACAAAACAAAACAAAAACATTCATGCTAAGTAAGCCATTCAAGATAACAGTCGATCATTTTACTCTCTGCAAAGCAGGATCTTACTTGACTTAACAGACTTTTGCAGTAGGAGTTCCTGTTTTCTCATGGGCGTTTTGATTCCTAGCACACTTTGATATCTGAGATCCAAAATAAATGTTTGATATTTGCTTCCCGCTACCTTTTGATATCATGATAGTTCCCTAGGGTGTATTTGTATTCGTTATTGCTGTATAATAAATTACTCAGACATTTAGCAGCTTAAAACGATAACCATTTATCATCTCACGAAGTTTCTGATAGCCAGGATTTGGAGGCAGCTTAGCTGGGTGGCTCTGGCCAGGGTCTCCGAGGAGGCTGCAGTCAAGCTGTTGACCAGGGCTGTGGCCCTCTCTAGGCTCAGCTGGGCCTGCAGAATCTGCTTCCTAAGCTCGCATGTCATCTGTGGGTTTTCTTGTCTGGCTGTTGGCCAGAGGTGTCATTTCTTTACCATATGCGCCTCTCCGTAGGGCTACTGACAGCATGGCAGCCAGCTTCCCCAAGAGCATGTTGTCTGAGAAAGAGAGAGAGCAAGAGGGAAAAAGAGAGAGAGAGAGAGAGCACAAGCATGTCCCAAGATGGAGGCCTCGATCTTTGTATATCGTAATCTAGGAAGTGACCACCATCACTTCTGCCATATTCTGCTCATTAGAAGTGAATCACTAGGGCTGCCCTGATGGCACAGTGGTTAAGAATCTGCCTGCCAATACAGGGGACATGGGTTCAAGCCCTGGTCTGGGAAGATGCCACATGCCGTGGAGCAACTAAGCCTGTGCGCCGCAACTACTGAGCCTGCACTCTAGAGTTCGCGAGCCACAACTACTGAGCCCACGAGCCACGACTACTGAAGCCCGCGCGCCTAGAGCCTGTGCTCTGCAACAAGAGAAGCCACCACAATGAGAAGCCTGTGCACCGCAACAGAGAGTAGCCCCCACTCGCCACAACTAGAGAAAGCCCGTGAGCAGCAGCAACAAAGACCCAGTGCAGCCAAAAATAAATAAATTAAAAAAAAAAAAAAAGAAGTGAATCACTAAGTCCAACTCACCCTCCAGGGGAGGATATTCATCTCTCCCTCCTGAAGGAAGAAGTATCACAGAATTTGTGGACCTGATTTTGAAGCCACTACAATAAATATTTCAGCATTATGTGTGTTTTAAAAGGCTCTATTTGATATTTGTCTTACCTCAGACATGGTCTCAAAGATGAAGAGTTACAGCAATCTTTAGGTTAACTTGTGATTGTCTTCTTTTGTATGAAAGAAAATTGTACCAAGTGGCTTCCAAAGTTGTTTTGCGAGAAACAGACTTTCCTTTCCTCTAGGAAGCATAGCTGTCTGCTGTTTTTTCTAGGCACTTGGTAATTCTAGGAATGCCATGTTTCTCAGAATCCAAGAAAGTTCTCTGGGTCAGTGTTATTTCTGAGCCTCGTCAGACTGCAAGAAACCTTTTTAAATCTTCCCAATTTTCTGGTAGAGTTTTTTGGTCAACTCTAGGTGTAAATTTTTTCTTTGTCAGCAAAGCTCCCAGTTGGTCTTGCACATTAGGCTGAAATTTAAAATCGTTTTTGCATTTAGTCTCAACATTAAGATTGATATCAAGTTGCATAAATGTTAGTAAGTTTGAGAATTCCACATGTCTTTATAAGAGTGTTTTCTAGAAATAAAATCTGCTTAATGAAAAGATCCTAAGTTACAAGGTTTCAGTAGGAAGTCCAGGAGGATCCCTTTGAAAGTATCTCTTGATTCTTAATTCCAGGTTTGCTGAGCTACAAAGCTATACTCAGCTCAACTTCAGACCAGTAGAAGATGCTAAGTGTGACATTGTTATTGAGAAACCAACCTACTTCATGAAATTAGATGCAGGTGAGAAGTTAATTTGTCTGTTATTTATTTATCGGTTAATGTGGTTTTGTTCCTTTTTTTGATATATATATTCCTATAATTTGGGGGCAAGCAATGTGACATTAAACAATAGATTTGCTTTTTGCTTTCTTCTTGTGAAGAAGTGAACTAATTTGAACTTCCCACTGTTTTATATTTTTGGCATGCTAGAAGAAACTTTCACATTGATATCAAATGACTCAATCAAAATCAAAAGATGAGAGGAGAAAGACTGGGTACCCCTTTTGTAACTACATTTACCTCATGTGGTTTCTTTAATCGCTTGATTTAGCTGGTGCTTCAGTAGAACTCTTTAAAAATTAAAAGCCATGTATATAGTGCAGGTGGGAAAGGAAGGCTCATGACCTCTTCTGGCAAACTTTCTGGTATCATCTCCATGACTAAAGTTAACTTAAAATTCTTTTGGAAGTTAGCTCTGCCATATATTCTTTTTTTTTTTTTGCGGTACGCGGGCCTCTCACTGTTGTGGCCTCTCCCGTTGCGGAGCACAGGCTCCAGATGCGCAGGCTCAGCGACCATGGCTCACAGGCCCAGCCGCTCCGCGGCATGTGGGATCTTCCCGGACCGGGGCACGAACCCGTGTCCCCTGCATCAGCAGGCGGACTCTCAACCACTGCGCCACCAGGGAAGACCTGCCATATATTCTTGAAAAAAAAAGTTAAAATTATTTTCCTACTTAAGTTTATAGCTTCTAATTCTCCACATGCAAGCACAGCTTATGCTCTGTGAACTCATTGCCCTCGAGGGGAGCAACACAAATCGTACTCCGTTATCTCTCTCATTACAAGAGATGGAGGTTTCTATGCCACACCACATCCAAATTCATGAGAGGCTGGGCTCAAGGTGAAATATAGAGAGCCGCCTGTCACAAATATTTCAGAATTCCTCTAATTTATTGATCATATTTTTAATGTGCTCTGCCTTCTGAAGTCCTAAGTGATATATTACAAAGTATGAGGTTCAGAAATCAGACAAGTTTAGGTTTTGGAAATGAGAGCAGGTAAAACTGCTGTGTTCAAGGTCCTGACTCATTTTTAAAATATGCAGATTAAAATGGGGCAAAGAAAACACTGATCTGCCTGAAAATGGGTTGAACATGTGCGAACAGTTAAATTTATGTAGCTACTTATGCAATAAAGGATGTAAAGTAGGAACAATAGGCCAGGGTAGACATGTGTCATTTCTTTCCTATATTCATAACTCTGCCTTTTTCTTCTACCTTATGCTGTCATGCAGCGTTGCTTTTCATATTAACTCTTACCTTGAGAGAATGAGTATTCCGCAGAACAAGACTCATTTGGGGCCCATTTCTTGAGGACAGAGCCTGTGTTTTCTCCCTCTTTTATAAATCCTCCCGCTACCAAGTGCTATCTTGTGCATTCAGCATCCCTCAATAAATGTTATAAACTTGCTGAACGATTCATGAGACAGTTAACGTGTGCTGTGTGCTAACCTGGGAAAAGGGGATGGGTTGCCGTAGAACTTTCTTTTTCTTATTTATTTGAAAATATGTCTTTGGCAAGATTTTTCTGGGTGAAAGAGAAAAGTCCCTCTAAACATTCATCTAAGATACCAGTCTACAAAGAATGGAGTATTATTTTCCTTTTTCTTGTCCTTGTTGAGATATAATTGACATCCAGCACTTTATACGTTAAAGGTGTGTAGTATAATGACCTGACTTTCATAAATGGAGTCCTTTTTACTCTTATTTTCTGGCACACAACGTTATTATTCGCTCTAGGAATGAAGTCAGAATATTTTATGATTTCTGCTTTTGAGAGTCACTGTTTTTCTTTTAATCAACATTTTCCCTTCTTTAAAGTGCATATTTTAAATGTTAGTTCTTGGAATTTTATCCCATTTAGATTTGTACATTTCCAGGTTGAATACTGGGTCCTCCATACCTAAGTGGAGAGGGAAAGAGAAAGGGGAGAGAGAGAGGGCAGAAGACAGAGAGAGAGAGAGAGAGAGACTGAGAAAGAGAAAGAGAGAGAGAGAGATTGAGAAAATGTTCAGTTTCTTATGAATGCTGGACTTAGGAACTTAAAAATAGCATCACTGCCCTCCCCCTTCCTCTGACCCAGCAGGATCCAGCTGGTCTTCACTAAGTTTTCACTTTGTGCCAGGCGCTGGGCTGGGTACTTTAGGTACATTACCTAAAAGCTGGCACCTAAGTATATTGATTTCCTATTTCTGGTAGGAAAGCTCAAGCTTTGGAATTTACAAACTTGCCTGAGTACTTGCTCATAATTTGACTCAGTTCTTCTGACTCCAGAGTTTATGCTCTTTTAATTAGGACCTGAGACATTCAGCTCTTTTCAGTGATAGTTGGTTAATGTTTTCCCGAGAAGCAATGTAAGTAGTGATTAAATAGGAGAAAAAGAGACAGGAATGAAAAATACCAAAATGTTAATAGTGCCATCATTGTCAATACTTCCATGATGACCAGGTGTCAATTGATTTAAAAACAATAAATGATCATAAACATAGTGATTAATCTTCACGGTTCTATAGTTCTACCCCATATTGAGTTAAATAGGCTTCTGTTATTTTTTCTGGGAACGTAATGATCATTTGTTTCTTAGTGTATATGGGAAACTTTATTCCTAATTTCCAATTTGAAAGTGAATTTTTGAACACAGTCAGTCTTTCAACTGAGAACTACCTGTGTACTGATCATTTTAGGTTTGGAAACAGTCTTAATTTTCCCCCCACCGGTTTCAGCTACAAGTCTATCGTACTATAAGTAGATGGGGTAGAATAAAAATTGTGTACTCCTTTGTTCTTTGGGGTTAATTAACATGGATTTCTTTTTTCCAATCCTAGGTGTTAACATGTATCACCACTTCTGTGATTTCATCAATCTTTATATTACTCAGCACATTAATAATTCCTTCAGCACAGATGTGCACGTTGTGATGTGGGACACAGTAAGTAAAAACAGGCTCCCTGCTTCAGTGCTGTCTTTGCCTTGCTTAATACCTGTGTGATTCTGATCTTGTGTAGTGGAATTTTCTAAGACACACGCGTTTACATATACTCATGTACAGACATATATCCATGCGTGTGCAGTTGTGTGTGAACGCCTCTGTGTGGCTGAATTTACATGTAGGTATAATATATGGGCAGATTCAGGTGTATGCATATACCTTTATTCCTGGAATTTTAGAATGAGGTTGTAGAAGATTTCTTTCCCCCTTTGGGCAGGTGAAGCTCAAGTTTCCTCTGAGATGGGCATAAAAGACTGTCATTCACTTAACCTCCGTGACTCCCCACAGGACCCATGAGAGGAGAGCTTGCCTCTGTTTACAGTTTGGCCTCTTGTAATTACCATCTGTTTTGCTTCATTGCAGCTTCCTTGTTAGTTCCTGCTTTATGCCAGGTTGTGCCATGTGTATCTGCACATAGATACACATGTTGAATCCCACCTGCTGTGGGCTTATTTGTTTTAAGTGCAGTCTTTTCTTCCTTCCTCTCTTTCTTTGCCTGCCTTTCCCCTGCTTTTCCCCATAGCTGGCCCCTCCACCGTCCCAGGTAACCTCGGGGAGTTGCCCCAGTGCTCTCACCTGTGAAATGGGATTATTAACGTGTCATTTTGAGGATGAAGCATACCGTGTGCGAACAGTCACAATGCCTGGTCCACAGCGCATGGGCTCTGAATGTGAACCCTGACAGCGACAGTGGGCAGGAGAACACGTGGTGTATAGTGCACACGAAAAAGGCTGCCTAACCTGGGCAGTGAGAACACCCACGGAGAACTCATCTCAGGGTCAGCCAGACATTCCAACACCCAGGGCGCTTATAGGCCCCCTTCTTGTCCTGAGTCTGTTTGGAAGACTAGTGCAGGGGAACCATGGCTTGCTGGCAGGGCAGCATCAGGCATTGCTTCCGGGGAGTCCTAGCAGCCCACATAGCACAGTTCAGATGCAAGGAGACGGGATCCACCTGGGGCAGGTATAGATCCCATGGGGGCCAATATCTTCTGGAACAACTGCGTTGGCCAAGCCCCCAGGATCCTGAGAGACACAACCAGTTACAGGAGTCCTTGTACTCTTTCCCAGTCCACATGCAATGGACCCATTGGGTGTCTTTTAGAATTATAAACAGTGCTACCTAGAGCATAGGGGAGACGTACTGTCTCGTTTCCAGAGAGCAGAGCTAGAGCATTTACTGAACGTCGGGTTCTTGTGCAGAAGGGCAACTGATTTTGCTAATGCTTGTTTTGCTGATAGGAGGCTGGTAGCAGAGCTGTGTGGAGAGGTTTTCATGACCATGGCTCCCTAGGCCTGTAGTAGTTTGACTTCATGTCTGATTGATGGGAACGGGTTCTGATATTCCTGGCATGCTAACGCTCCCTTTTAGTCTCCTTCTTTGTACGGATTTGCGTTTCCCTCTTGTGTTCCAGTTTTGCTGCCACCTCAGTTCCATTTCTTGGCAATGTTTCAGGGAGCAAAGGGATCAGGAGTTCCTTTCCTTTCCTCTTTTTGCGTAAGATTGTGGCTTCCAGGCCACGTTACCAGCTATGGGCAGCTCTCATTTAATGCGCACAGCCCTCCGTGGACTCGGGTTTTTGTTCCTTTATTTTACAGATGAGCCGTGTCTCTAGGATGACACAGTCAGCCAGGGGTTGAGACAAGGGTGCCCGTCCAGGCAGTCTGCCCCCAGACCTGTGCCCTGCAGCCACAGTGCTTTATCGCCTCCCTGTCCTTCCCTGCAGAACTTGTTAAGTTGATGGAAAGTTTTCCAGAAGCTTCCTTGTATCTTGTTGCATGCTTTTCCGTGGCTTCCTCTAGTGGATTGAGTTAAACCGAGCCAGCTTCTACAAACTCCCCCTTCTTGGTGCCTGCTGGGGTGGAGCGAAGAGAATGCATGGCCACCACAGGGCTCCCTGGTTGCTCAGTTTACTGGGTGTGTGATGTTAGTGCAGCCTGACCTCGACTGCCCTGGACATGCAGGATGCTTTTAGCCGAGCAGGTTGGCCTGCCTGGTGTGACCTCCCTCCTCTGCCCCTCTCTGTGCGTCCATTTTAAACCTGTTTTCTTGGTCAGAGAGGCCTTTGCTAGTTGCTCAGTCAGGGTCTCAGGACAGGCGAGGGCCAGTTTGTTCCAGAACTGAGGCCCACAGAATCCTGTAGGTTGGATGGGGATGGTGGTGAGGTGTTGTGTGGCCGCCGACCGGTTCTCTTTGTCTGGTGAGGCACTGAAGGAAGCAACCCTGCCTCCCGGAGGCTGACGGTGCTTCAAAACCCCCACGGTGGACGGTGTTGCCATAGAACCAGTCCTGAAGGCCTCGGACGAGCTGTGCACCCAGGGGAAGAACAGGGAGGTGGCAGTGGCTGCAGGTCAGACCCTAGTGACATTTTATGAACTGTCGCACAAGGAAGCCTCTGAGGCCTCCCCCTCTCGTCCACAGAAAGCTCAGCAGTCTGGTTGCCCTTCAGGCACGTGGCTTCCTCGGCGGGATTGGGCAGGGTCTCCACCCTCGAGCCATATGCAATGAGGGACACTCCTGCAGACGCATTTCTGGGCACAGCAGGCTTGCACACAAGGAACAGTAGTATAGCTTTATTATTGCCGTTTTTAATTATGCAAGTAAGACCAGGTTATAATGAGTTCAAATGACACAGAAGTATGTAAAGTTAAAAAAAAATTCTCCTTTGTCTACTCCAATTCCATTTCCCTTGAAGGCAACTGCGGTTAACATGTGTGAGAGTCCCTTGGGAGACTTTATTTTAATAAGTGTAAATACATCCTTTTACAACATTTAGGTAAGGATTTATATAAGGATATATATATTATGTAAAATTTGTATAAGGATATGTTTATATCCTTATAGAAAATAAAATGTGTTCTCTTATGTTGCTAACTTAGTATTATATGGTGGGCATCTTTCCAAGTCAGCACATGTAGGATTATCATTTCTTTAGTGGTTGCATGCTATTCCATTTGCTGGATGTCATGGATGTTTGGTGGAAGCCTTAATGTGTGTATTTACCTCTGTCCCCACCCTGATCACATTTAATTTGTTTCCAGTTCTTTGCTCTTTACGGAAATGCTGTCCTGAACATCCTTTTCATATACATATGTCTTTACATAGTCATCCTAGCATTTCTGCAGGGCAGATTCCTATAACTGGAATTTCTAAGTCATAGGTTGTTCAAGTTTGAGATGTACACAACAGGAAATTTTATGTCATCTTTAAGAATATCCAGATATTCTTCATCGTAAGACTGGAAAACCCCTCCTTCGCCTGTGGCAGATAATTTGAATTTCAGGGACTTCTAGAGAAGAAGCTTCTAGAGGTGGTTATTACTGAATACTACATGATTTCTCTGAAAAGGGACCAGTCAGGATTACTTTATTTTATTATTAAATTTTCCTTTCAAAGGTATCTTATTTTATCCCAAGTATTTTTTTCTCAGGAAACTGTCTAGAATCACTTCTTTTAATTGTCCTTTATTTATTATTGAACCAAAACTGGGATATTCAATTTTTGATGGTGTTGAGAAGGGCCTTTATTAGAACAGCACTGGAGAAACATCGAAGGAAAGAATTTTTATTTTTTTATCACCACATCTAACAGTTCTCAATAACTTTGAAATAACTCTAATATGTGCAACATAAAATTTTCAAAATCTGAAAAAAAAGAATGCTGTAAAGATAAAAAGACATGAACATAATGAATGCCATGTATAACCAACTGTAGACCTTGAATGTAACCCTACAATACGTATTTCTTACTTCTTTCGGCTGAATTTTTCCATCTAAGTTCTACCATTTCAAAATAAATGGACCTCCTTCCTTCAGCTGATGGAGCACGTAATTAATTTCTACTTTTCAGAAATGAAATGCATTTGGTAAATGTGCCAGAAAAAACTGGTTCTCATCGAAAGGCAACTGCCATGTAGAGGTTACAAGCATGGAGTCGGGAACCAAAGAGACTGGATTTAATCCCAGCCCTGTAAACGCAGCAGTTCTACAGTTGAGGCAAATTACTTAAACTTTGTCTCAGTTTCCTCATCTGTAAAATGGGGATAATGGTATTCCCTCGCTCATTAAGTTAGTGGGGTGGTTTAATGTGTTAATAATGTCAAGTTCTTAGAACAGTGCCTGAGATGTAGGAAGTATGCAGGATACTATTAATGTTATTATTATTGGGACTTCCCTGGTGGCACAGTGGTTAAGAATCCGCCTGCCAACGCAAGGGACACGGGTTCGAGCACTGGTCTGGGAAGATCCCACATGCTGTGGAACTACAAAGCCCCTGCGCCACAACTACTAAGCCTATGCTCTAGAGCCCGTGAGCCACAACTACTGAGCCCATGTGCCACAACTACTGAAGCCCGCGTGCCTAGAGCCCATGATCCGCAACAAGAGAAGCCACCACAATGAGAAGCCCACGCACTGCAACGAAGAGTAGCCCCTGCTCGCTGCAACTAGAGAAAGCCCATGTGCAGCAACAAAAACCCAACGCAGCCAATAAATAAATAAATAAATAAAATTAAAAAGTATATTATTATTACTCGTTAATGTCAACGGGGAATTATGTTATTCATTAATCAATAGGGACATCATTTCCTAGAGTTACATTCATTATGTTTTTTTTTAAAAATAAACTTACAAAGGGTCTAATCAGTTTTTTTCCTATTAATTAATTAATTTATTTCTGGCTGTGTTGGCTCTTCGTTTCTGTGCGAGGGCTTTGTCTAGTTGTGGCAAGCTGGGGCCACTCTTCATCACGGTGCGCGCGCCTCTCACTTATCGCGGCGTCTCTTGTTGCGGAGAACAGGCTCCAGACGCACAGGCTCAGTAGTTGTGGCTCACGGGCCTAGTTGCTCCGCAGCATGTGGGATCTTCCCAGACCAGGGCTCGAGCCCATGTCCCCTGAATTGGCAGGCAGATTCTCAACCACTGCGCCACCAGGGAAGCCCCCGTTATGTTTTTAATGTTAAAACTTTCAAGGCATTTTCTTGCTCTCAGATTTCTTTCCAAAAGTGTATTCTGTCTGCTCTGATGGGTTTTGCTCCCTGAGCATATCACAGTATGTACAAAAGGTGGTGTACATATGTGTTGTGTGTATCTGTGATTTGGATAGAAAATTCACGGGGGAAAACCCCCCACAATGACTGCAATTTTAAGGACATGAGAATAAAAAGGGCTAGGATGGAAAGCTCAGATTATAATTGTGGTGATTATTTCTGATGATATTACATCAGATTAGGGACTTGCTCAGGCCCAAGATGAAAATCCATTTTTTTTCTATGGGTTTTATGAACTTATTTCGGATTGCTGGTTCTTAATACTAAGAAGCGAATTCAGGTATTTTCTCACATTTTTGAAAAGCCAAGTTTAGCCAAATTCCCTAACTTACTTTGTTTCCATTTTCAGAGCTCCTACGGATATGGTGACCTGTTCTCCGATACATGGAAAGCATTTACTGATTATGATGTTATACATTTGAAAACTTATGATTCCAAAAGGGTACTGGAAACTTTACTGAAATGTCTGTAAATAACTGTCATTACAGATGACTCACTCATCAAATAAATATTTAATCTGAGTTTCTATGAGCTATTACCATTGATTTCTAACTCAGTTTCATTTGTAATAACTAGAATCATCATGGTTATTAACCATGTACCTTTTAAAACCTTTTGTTCATAGCTTTTTCCGGAATATGAATTTCAGTTGAGTGAAATAATTGGTTATGCAAAATATTTTGATGCAAAACAGAGATTAATTAAATTATTTTCTGTCATTATTCGTGCTGTTTTGGTGTGAAGGGTGCAAACTGTGTTCTCTTACCTTTTAAAATATCTTCATTCTTAGGTATGTTTTAAAGAAGCTATTTTTTCCTTACTCCCCCGGATGAGATACGGGCTGTTCTATAATACCCCTCTGGTAAGCATGTCATCTGTGGTTAACATTCCTATTCAGAGAATTTATTCTTCATGGATTTTAAGATAACACTTACATATAACTTGAGAACATCTTAAATAGTAATGCAGATATTATTCATTGTAATAGGAAATATTTTTTTATTTTAGATATCTGGCTGTCAAAATACCGGATTATTCCGGGCATTTTCTCAGCATGTACTACACAGACTGAACATCACACAAGAGGGTCCCAAGGTAATGACTACATTATGGGTTCTGAGGTGGTCTTGACTTTTCACCCCAAATAAAAATCAATACCAGCTTTGCAGAAAAAGGAGATCATCAGCAGACAGTGTTTTCTGGGTTGTTTTCTGACCTGGAGTGATTTGAAATCAGATGTCAACAACCGAGAAAATTTCGATAAACTAAAGATAGTGGAAGAATGTGTTTTTTTCTCTTTTTCTTTTCCTTTTCTTTTCCCTGTATCTCTCCATCCTTCCTCAAACCCCTACCCAGCCCACATAAACTCTGCCCCCAAATCCACCCAACCAACCAAAAAGAAGTAGTATGATGAACGGGTTTTGCCTTCTGTGGCTAAAGTAGATGCATTTTTATCCCCTGAGAGAACTGTGAAGAAATCAGGCTAAAAAAAAAAAAAGTTTCATAAAGGTGTCCTTATTGAGTTTCATCTCTCGGTGAAAATCACATTTTAAGTTCATCTGTTCATTTATCTGTCCAGGCATATGCAGCATTATTTTGCCTTTTCCACAGGATGGAAAAATTCGAGTCACCATTCTCGCACGGAGCACAGAATACCGGAAAATCCTCAACCAAAATGAGGTTAGTTTTTGGGATGCATTTTTAATAGCGTCATATTGAATTTCACTTCCTATGACTGATGCGCTTTATTTTTTTCACATCATACTAAGTGCTTTGATTTGAAATTAGTAGCTTTTAGAAAAGTCTGATGGCTGTGCCCAGTTTATTTATTGGATTTCTACTGCAAGTCATCAAACCATCCACTGCTGAATGAGCTTTGCCTTACTGTAGACGTTCATCGCACCACCTCAGTGTGGAAACAGAGACAAAACTGGCTGAGTCCTGCCTTTGCTGCCATGGATTGCCAAATTTTTTGTCTCTGGGCAAACTAGCAGCAAAACAATGGGAGAGTCTCTTTGGGGAGATGGCTGATGGACTGTGGCAGGACTGTGGCATCCAGCAGCAGATTAAGTTGGAAAAGTCTCCATCCTTTTCATGGGTGTCTTAGAAATTGTTCACCTCTTAGCCTCCCTGACTCATTTCAACAACATCAATTCATAAATTATACTTAATCTTAAGGAGATCACCATGGAAGCCTCCCTACAACAGCATGACTGGACGATGTCCTTGCAATAGTAAGGTTTGCTCGAATGTGGATGGCCTCTAGAAGCTGGAAAAGGCAAGGATTCTCCCCTAGAGACTCCAGAAGGGGTGCAGCTCTGCCTACACCTTGATTTCATCCCAGTGAGGTTTCTATCTCATTGTGTAGGACTTCTACAGAACCATAAGAGGATAAATTGTGTTGTTTTAAGATGATAAGTTTGTAGTAATTTGTCACAGCAGCAAATAGAAAATGAAGACACAGAGAGATGAAACTGACTTATTTATTTGTAAATGACTCTGGCTGCAAGAGTAGGAGTGGGGAGATTGATTAAGAGCCGTTGCCCTGATAAGAGTTTAGATGAAGCGGGTGACAGTAGGGATGACAAAATAAGTGGTTTCAGGATGTATCTTGGAGATAAAGCCTATGATACTTGTGTGTGGGAATGTACAGTTATAGCCTCAGGTACGGCCAGGAGAGGTAGTGAGAATCAAGCGTGAACTCCTGGGCTTTTAGCTTAAGCAGTTCAGTGGACTTGAGATGGGAGGGAAATTGGGGGCAGGTTTTGATGGGGAAAATGTTTCACACAGATTAATTTGGGTGCCTAATCCAAATTATGTAGTTAGCATCTCTTGAGATGCATATGGATTATGGAGGACATGAACGTATGGTGTAACGAGGCATTGATTGTGAGCTGTGTGGATGGAAGAAATGAACAGTGTACATATGTGTGTTTTAAACACCTGGAAATAAAAGTATCACGTAATGCAGTGTTGGGGTAGACAGGTGAGAAGCCTCATTAGCAGGCAGATCAATAGTATGTATTGATAGAGGTAATGGGTATTGGCTGCAATTATGTACCAAGTATATTGCTATGTGCTCCCCATTACCTGTACGGCAACTTTCCCAGCAAACCGAAAATATAGGTATTTTATTATTATTCTCTATTCTGGGCAAGGACACTGAGGCTTATAGGTTAAAAAACATGCCCAAGGTCACCCAGCTAATGAGTAGAGTAATGAGGGGTGAGCCAGGTTCGTCCGGGTCTGAGCCTGCTTCTTCAGCAGAGTGCTCCACGGCCCTAACACAATTTGACCTTGGAGGAGACCGACCCACCTTGCCTCCCAGTCCATCGGGAAGGGGCAGTCAGCTGCTGGAAAGAAGTCCAGTGGAAGGGTAGCATCAGTGGGTGCTACACTGCAGCCATCGACGTTTTCAGATCCAGCTCCGCAGATCGCCCGGATGCTCTTGCCCAAAGGTGGGATTTGGTAATTCAGCTCCAATACCAAGCCAAAGAGCTCCCAACTGGCTGCTTTTCTCCCAGGATTGGCGTCTCTTGCAGAAGCAGCTCCCAGGCAGAGAAGAAAGCACCTTTCTCTTTTCCTTGACTCGTGAATAGATAGCAAAACCCAGATGCGCTCATTAAATGATGGTTCATGCAATCCTGCCCTACTTCAAGATTAGAATTGTGAGGGACATAGAGAACCATGACGATGCATTCGATGATCGATTAATCGTGCTTAGTTGTTTTCTCTTCGCTAAAAGTATAGTTGTTTTCCTGCTAGAGGTGTTGAAAGTTTTTCTGCCCGGAATTTAGTATTTTTGGTGGATGAGGTTCCAAAGCACTAGGGGTTTGTCTGAAATGAGATGATGGGTAGGAAGAAAATTCTGGAACAAAGTAGGTACCCAACGAATATATGTTGAAAGTTGAGGGACTAACTATTGGAATAACAATAGCTAACACTTCATGTGCGTCTGTGTCAAGCCCTTTGCTCTTAAGAATTGTCACCCCGCAGCCTCATAGCAACTCAGAGCAGTGCAATTTTAGGGAGGTAGCGTATCCTCCCTAAAATGCAGGCGTGGAGCCTGCACTTGAACTCAGTTAAGGGTTAAACACAATAGACCTGAAGGATATTTAATACTTTAAAAATATTTTGTATGAAAAATAAAAATTTGGGGACTCCAAGGTAAGTAAAACAGAAGAGAAGGAAGGAAAAGAAATTCTAAAGGTTTCTCTTATTTTCCCAGCTTGTAAATGCACTGAAAACGGTATCTACATTTGAGGTCCAGATTGTCGATTATAAGTATAAGTAAGTAATAACCCACTCTTGGGCAGACACTGTCGTCTTTGACTTTGATGAGTTAATGGGGGAGAGGAAGGACTTTGCGAATGGGAGTTGTTGGCGCATGTAGACCTGGAAGGGACAAGCGGACGCCATCGGTGAATGAAATGGGCAGGTGAGGACCCCGGGCTTAGGGGGCAGAAGCTCTTCAGCTGTGAGGGGCCTGATGCTGCCGCACCATCCCTTTTTTAAAGAGAAGTGATGAATCCTGATTTTCATTTGAAATTTCTGAATTTCTAAAAGTCGGCAACTAATTCTGAATTTTAAAAAAATGTTGTAGGCTTCACTTGCCTGCTAGCTGCTGGGTTTCAACTTCTGACCTACAATATGGGAATAATTAAGGGAATAATTTGAGGTTCATCAAATAATATGAGGCTTCTAAAAATCTTTTCAAATATTACATTTCTTTTAAAATTGTGATACAAGTAAACAGCTTGGAAAGACAGAGTCTGCCTATCATTTACTGTCTAGGTAACCCGTGTTGACATGAAAACAATAATACTGTAAAGATAATACATGTTCTTGGTAGAAAAGGTCAAGCAGTATAGAAAAGTTCCAAAGGAAAGTGAAAACTTTTCTCTCCCTCCTTGGCCCACCCACAATCATAGTCTTGTTGTCCCAACAGTTTTTTTCTGTGTAAAAACAAAAGGATACATATACCAGCATAGGGTGCCTGACACAGCTAGGTTTAAATTTATTGGTAAGTGTGGGAGTTTTGCACCTCATTCATTATACATTTGTTCATTTATACCACACATCTTTATCAGGTACCTACCATGGGCCAGTCACCAGGCTTTGCAGTAGGAATGCAGTTATGGAGGAAGCATGGCTCTTGTCTTGAGGACCTCAGACACTGAATCTGAATAAATAGCAGTTGCAAGAACAGCTGTCATTTATTGAGACTTACTCTTATGCTTCCCTAGCTCTGTCTCATCTCCCTCTTCTGAGAGTCTTGTGAGGTTGGCGAAGCTTTTCCTATTGGACGGGTGACACTTCGCCACGGTGACTCCCCTCATTGCCACCTGAGGAAAAATGTGGAGGTAGAAGAGGGCCCGGGGTCAGGATGAAAGAACTGGGCGGGGGGGGGCACCTCTGAGGCTCTGTCGCTGACTGGCTTTGAAGAATACGTAGGGGTTTCCCCGATGAAGGAAGAGTGACAGTAAATTCAGACCTTGCCAATCTGAGGGACACAGTAGTAACCTAACGGCATCGAGGTTTGTGAGTCCTGACCTTTGGGCCTTTTCCAGAAATAATAACTCCACGGATATATTCCCCCGGACAAATGCCGCTCCTTGCCTCGGTATCGGTTGGCATTCCTGGGGAAACTGAGGCACATGTACCTCGTGTGAGACACACTTGGTGGCTTTGTCTCCCTTCCCTTGTGCGGAGTGGGGTTTCTGTTCTGCTGGGAGAGGAAGCTCTTTAAAGAGGTGAAGCTGATTAAGAGGAAATTTGCTTTCCCTTCTTAGATGCCAGCGGACCTATTTATTTTTCTTCACTTTGAGTGGGTGGGACTGGGAGATCGGATTCCATTATGTTTATTCAGAGTGTTAGCCTCTGTCCAGCATTTCTTCCCAGCCTCACTGACTTTCGGTTCAGCGTTTGCACATCTTCTAGTGTCTTGAATTCAAAGACTAGTTTTACAGTCCCAAGGTGCATAAAATTGTGGATTTATCCCTCATACATCCACAAAGACAGGAAAATGCCCTCATGGCATCCAAGACTGTCTTAGGAGTATCCAGATGGTAATCGAATGACTCAAATCACACAAGGAAGAATTTATTTTATTTTGTAAAAATTCCTATATGATTTTAAGGAAACAGTTTTCAGTTTTGTACGAATATATCATAACATCACTTTAATGCTTGCTAATTTCATTTTTCATAAAGAGGGAGCAAGCCTCAGGCTCAGAGCTCTGCCTTGCAATGTTATCTACCTAGATTGGAATAATGCTTTTTAGCTTCATTATATCTATTTTTACAGTTTCGTTCATGTCATGAGTTACTGGTTTTCCATTTAAGACAGGTATAAAAGTTTCTTCTAAAATAAGAAAATGTAAGTTTAAAAAAAAGGGAGCTTAACTTAGAGAAAATGTTATTAAGTAAGTTGTTAATTTCTGGAGTAGATTTGAAATTGGCCAAAAAATATCATGGCAGAACGTGCTTTAAATTGGGAAAGATACTTGTATAAATGCTGTTACCATGACTCATGAGCTTACGCAACTTAATACTTTCCCTCTCCTCCCCTTTTTTCTTTTGTTGTTCTTTATGTTCACAGGGAACTTGGGTTTTTAGATCAGCTAAGGATCACGCATAACACGGACATATTTATTGGAATGCATGGAGCTGGTCTTACCCATTTACTTTTCCTTCCGGACTGGGCTGCCGTGTTTGAACTGTAAGTGTTTGGGGACCGTTTTACGTTGAGGCAGCTGATCATGCTTTTTCTGCCAGCTGAAGCTTTCATTCAGAGCATCAAAAGGCTTCATAGTTAATCATTACAAAGAAGTCACATCATGTAGGCATGTAGAAAGAAAAAAAGACCTAAAACTAAAAATGTGAAGTCTGCAGCCTGCCATTGCCCTTAGCAAGCAAATATCTCTTTCCTTCCCCATCTCAGCAGGATTCGGGAGATGTGAATCTATGGTTTCCTTCCTCTGAGTGCATTTCTGTGTTCCTGTCAAACTGAAAGCATCTCCCTGCAATCAGTGTAATTATTGTGTTAAAAGAGAACCTGGGGCTTCCCTGGTGGCGCAGTGGTTGAAAGTCCGCCTGCCAATGCAGGGGACACGGGTTTGTGCCCCGGCCCGGGAAGATCCCACATGCCGCGGAGCGGCTAGGCCCGTGAGCCATGGCCGCTGGGCCTGCGCGTCCGGAGCCTGTGCTCCGCAATGGGAGAGGCCACAACAGTGAGAGGCCCGCGTACCAAAAAAAAAAAAAAAAAAAAAAAAAAAGAGAACCTGTGTGTTGCCCACCCATGTTCATAGCCGCGTTTTTCCATTAGCCAAGAGGTGGAGGCAACTCAGTTGTCCATTGACTGTTGAATGGATAAACAAAATGTGATACACACACATCCAATAGAATATTATTCAGCTTAAAAAAATAAAGAAATCCTATCTCATGCTATATGACAGGGATGAACCTTGAGGACATTATGGTAAGTGAAATACGTTACTCTCAAAAGCACAAATACCGTATGATTTCACTTATATGAGGTACATAGAGTAGTCAGATTCATAGAGACAGAAAGTAGAAGAGCGGTTGCCAGGAACTCGGGGGACAGGTGAACGGGGACTTAGTGTGTAATGGGGACAGAGTTTCACTTTTGCAAAATGAAAGCATTCTGGAGATTGGTCACATAACAATAAGGTCTACTTACCCCTGAACTGTACACTTATAAATGGTTAAGATGGTAAATTTTATGTCATGTGTTTTCTACCACAATTAAAAAAAAGAGAGATAGAGAGTTTGAGTACCTGTATGCCTGGTGAAGAGCACAGCTCCAAAACACAAGCCCAGCACTTTGCCTAGTGCTCACTGATTCCATACACAGGGAGACTGAGGCCTCAAGGGGAAAGTAATTTTCCCAGAGTGTTCCTTTAACTCGGTGGTTGGTTAAGGAGACAAGGACTTCTCTCCTTTAATAATTCTACTCTGGATACCAATAGTGATTACTGTTACCTGATTTCCCCTCCTTGCATCTAAATATTTTGATTTTATGGTCGCATTTTAAAAATGACTTGACTTGGCATTTAAATGAGAAACTAATTGGAAAAAAGTTGTCATGAGCTTCCAACACCCTGAAAAACATTTAAAAATATATATATGTTAGAGAAATAGCCAGATAATTGTAGATTCTAATTCAATTCTTCATTTCTTCCAGAGAGGAAGGGAGGGAAGAAAGGAAGGAAGGAGGGAAGGAAAGAAATGTCATTGAGAAATCTCAGGCCTTGGAGGTCAACAGACCTGGGATCAATTTCTGCTTTGGAGACTATGTTACCTACCCCAAGGCCACGTTCATATGTACAAAGTTGGGGGTATTAGGAGTTAATATCAAGTTCACAGTCCTATTGATAAAGGTCCCCTCCATTCTTTAATCCTATTCTGCTCTTGGAAAGTTAAGATAATTTAGTTATGGGAATATTTTAAAAATAATCTCTCCCACTCTTTTGTGTGTGTGCGTTTCTATAAACAGTTTTATTGGGACATAATTTACACACCATACAATTCACTCATTTAAATCGTATAATTCAACGGTTTTATTTATTTATTTATTTTTTAAACAAACACTGCACAATAACTGCCAATCGACATATGAAAAGACATTCACTGTTAGTCATGATAAAAGAGAATACAGATCAAAATAGTAAAAAGATGCTATTTTTCACTTCTCAGACTGGCAAATATTAGGAAGTTTTTTCTTTTCCAGGGTTGACTTAGAGATTCAGAAAAGGGACACTTCCACATACGGCTAAAATGGAGAAGGGTGTGGGGGGTGTTGTTAGTGTGACCTGTCTGAACTACAGTTTAACTACATCTTTCAAGACTTTATTTAAAAAAAATTTTTTTTCCTTCCCTTTTTTTTTTTACATCTTTACTGGAGTACAATTGCCCCACAATGGTGTGCCAGCCCCCACCCTACAACAAAGTGAATCAGCCACACATACACACACGCTGCCACATCTCCTCCCTCCTGCGTCTCCCTCCCCTCCACTCCCCCCACCCCACCCCTCCAGGCAGTCACAAAGCACCAAGCTGATCTCCCCACGCCACACAGCCGCCTCCCACCAGCCATCCACCCCACGCCTGGCAGTGTACACATGTCCATGCCTCTCCCTCGCCCTGCCACAGCCCACCCCCCCCCACATCCCCAAGTCCACTCCCCAGCAGGTCTGCGTCCCCACTCCTGTCCCACCCCCAGGCTCCTCACGACATTCCCTTTTTCTTAAATTCCATATATATGTGTTAGCATACGGTATTTGTCTTTCTCTTTCTGACTTACTTCACTCTGTATGACAGACTTTAGGTCTATCCACCTCATTACAAATAGCTCAATTTCGTTTTTTTTATGGCTGAGTAATATTCCATTGTATATATGTGCCACATCTTCTTTATCCATTCATCCGATGATGGACACTTAGGTTGTTTCCATCTCCGGGCTATTGTAAATAGAGCTGCAATGAACATTTTGGTACATGACTCTTTTTGAATTATGGTTTTCTCAGGGTATATGCCCAGTAGTGGGATTGCTGGGTCATATGGTAGTTCTATTTGTAGTTTTTTAAGGAACCTCCATACTGTTCTCCACAGTGGCTGTATCAATTTACATTCCCACCAACAGTGCAAGAGGGTTCCCTTTTCTCCACACCCTCTCCAGCATTTATTGTTTCTAGATTTTTTGATGATGGCCATTCTGACTGGTGTGAGATGATATCTCATTGTAGTTTTGATTTGCATTTCTCTAATGATTAATGATGTTGAGCATTCTTCCATGTGTTTGTTGGCAGTCTGTATATCTTCTTTGGAGAAATGTCTATTTAGGTCTTCTGCCCATTTTTGGATTGGGTTGTTTGTTTTTTTGTTATTGAGCTGCATGAGCTGCTTGTAAATTTTGGAGATTAATCCTCTGTCAGTTGCTTCATTTGCAAATATTTTCTCCCATTCTGAGGGTTGTCTTTTGGTCTTGTTTATGGTTTCCTTTGCTGTGCAAAACATTTTAAGTTTCATTGGGTCCCATTTGTTTATTTTTGTTTTTATTTCCATTTCTCTAGGAGGTGGGTCAAAAAGGATCTTGCTGTGATTTATGTCATAGAGTGTTCTGCCTATGTTTTCCTCTAAGAGTTTGATAGTTTCTGGCCTTACATTTAGGTCTTTAATCCATTTTGAGCTTATTTTTGTGTATGGTGTTAGGGAGTGTTCTAATCTCATACTTTTACATGTAGCTGTCCAGTTTTCCCAGCACCACTTATTGAAGAGGCTGTCTTTTCTCCACTGTATGTTGTTGCCTCCTTTATCAAAGATAAGGCGACCACATGTGCGTGGGTTTATCTCTGGGCTTTCTATCCTGTTCCATTGATCTATCTTTCTTTTTTTGTGCCAGTACCATACTCTCTTGATTACCGTAGCTTTGTAGTATAGTCTGAAGTCAGGGAGCCTGATTCCTCCAGCTCCATTTTTCGTTCTCAAGATTGCTTTGGCTATTCAGGGTCTTTTGTGTTTCCATACAAATTGTGAAATTTTTTGTTCCAGTTCTGTGAAAAATGCCATTGGTAGTTTGATAGGGATTGCACTGCATCTGTAGATTGCTTTGGGTAGTAGAGTCATTTTCACAATGTTGATTCTTCCAATCCAAGAACATGGTATATCTCTCCATCTATCTGTATCATCTTTAATTTCTTTCATCAGTGTCTTATAATTTGCTGCATACAGGTCTTTTGTCTCCTTAGGTAGGTTTATTCCTAGATATTTTATTCTTTTTGTTGCAGTGGTAAATGGGAGTGTTTTCTTAATTTCACTTTTTTTTCATCATTAGTGTATAGGAATGCCAGAGATTTCTGTGCATTAATTTTGTATCCTGCTACTTTACCAAATTCATTGATTAGCTCTAGTAGTTTTCTGGTAGCATCTTTGGGATTCTCTATGTATAGTATCATGTCATCTGTATATAGTGACAGCTTTACTTCTTCTTTTCCGATTTGGATTCCTTTTATTTCTTTTTCGTCTCTGATTGCTGCCACCACCATAATTTTATAAAATTTTCATTATCCCCCCAAAGAAACTCAGTACTCTTCAGCAGTTGCTCTCATTCCATCCTCCTCCCAGCCCCTGGAAACCACGAATCTACTTTCTGTCTCTATAGATTTGTCTATTATGGACATTTCATATAAGTGGAATCATACCATATGTGGGCTTTTCTGACTGGCTTCTTTCACTTAGCATCATGTGTTCAAGGTTCATCCATGTTGTAGCATGGATCTGTACTCATTCCTTTTTATTGTCAATAATTATTCCTTGTATGGATATACCACATTTTATCCATTCATCAGTTGGTAGACATTCAGGTCGTTTGCACCTTTCGGCTATTGTGAGCACTGCTGCTATGAACACGAATCTCTCTCACTCTTGTTTACCGTTGATAAAACCTTTTGTAAGCACATATTTGGGAGGTGAATTTTTTCCCCAGAGAATTGCAAATTGGCCAGCAATCCCAGGCAAAAGCCCCATGTGTGGATGCCCTTGTGTCCTTAGATACAACTGTGGAGATGAACGCTGTTACTTGGACCTGGCCAGGCTGAGAGGCGTCCACTACATCACTTGGAGAAGGCAGAGCAAAGTCTTTCCTCAAGATAAGGTAAAGTTCAGGACAAAACTCATCCTGTTTTCTTTTTAATTGGTTTAAAGTGTCTAGTTAATGTGACAAACTATCTTTGAACTTCAATCCAAAGATAAAATGGTTCTTCTCTGGAATCGTGAGTTGTTGTGCTTTATATTTGCAAATTGGGGGAAAGGAGAAATTAATTACTCTCTCTCTTTATGTGGAAAAGAGAACTTCATGAAATTTGGGCCTAGAGAGATCTATTAAATTATTTAGAGACGGGATCAGGAAGCTACAGACCAGTGGGCTAAATCTGGCCCTCCAGTTGTTTTTATAAATAAAGTTTTATCGGGACATGGTCCTGCTCCTCTGTTTATGTGTTGTCTGTCTATGGCTGCTTGAGCGCTTCATTGGCAGGGTTGAATAATTGTGGTGGAGACTTTGTGGTCCATGGAGCTGAAAATATATGTTATCTGGCCTGTTACTGAAAAAATTTGCCAACCTCTGATGTAGAGCATAAACTAACATAGTTCCTTTGGCCAAAGTAAAATAACTTTCTTCTTGTTCAGAAAACCACATCCTCAACACCTTACAAATTTGTCTTTTGCTTCGTTTTTGCAGGGCCACCACCCAACTCTGGGGGAACATCCGAAGTTTACCAACTACTCTTTTGATGTAGAAGAATTTATGTACCTTGTCCTTCAGGCTGCAGACCATGTATTGCAACACCCGAAGTGGCCATTTAAGAAAAAACGTGATGAGCTGTAAATGTGTTGAGTCTTTTTGCCAAAAGGGAGTGTTTAAACGGTCCTCCGCCCAGACTCACCTCACAGTTAAATAGGTAAAACAGCCTGTTTTCTCCTAGCCCCAAAGTACCTTTTTTTAATACCAAAACATGCCTTCAGGGTATTACTTATGTGTTTTATAGTCTTTAACTGTTTCATGTGATTGTTGTGTCATTGCTATTTATCAAGATACTCTTTTTGCACTGAAAACTTTACTTTTTATAGTTCAGAAACTGGGCCTGGGCTCACTGCCGTAATTGAGCTTTTTTCTTAGGGATACCAAAGTTTGCAACTTTCTTAGCTTTAGAATTTGTAAATGTTTTTATAGAATACCATGAGCTCGTCATTCAAGAGGCTTCCAACTTGTTAATGATATATTTGAGCAAATTCACAACTCATTTGTTTGCCATGATTTGTTCAGAGCACAGTTTGTAGTAGGAAAGGAAAACATGCAAACACACACACACACAGTTGTGGTTCTCAGTACCAAGCTCTAGGCCCGTGTTATAGATTAAACAGTATTATAAACAGATCTGTTTAACTGTATCAGAGTCTAAACTAACTCCTGCTGAATTGTCTGTTGTATCTTTTTAGTCAACGCCAGGTTATCTTCATCAAGAACCTGAATTAACCATGCTGTTGCATTAGTTCATATTTTGAACTAATCATGTTCAAATCATGTTTTCCTCACATGTAACAACCACATATGATAAAAACAAATGAGGACGTCCTTTAGGACTGTTTTGTGTACCTTCTAGCTGGTTTCCACTGGTTCCTTCTTAGCCGTGGAGAGCATTTATAAATCAAATAGTGGTTTTGTTGCACAGGTGCTTGTAAGTGCATATACCTATGTGTATGCGTCTACCTCTTTTAGCATGGAAGTATTCCAGTCTTTGATTTTGCAAACTTTAAATTAGTCACAAGAGGAGATTTTTTTCCCTATGCAAAAAGTAAAGACACACACACAAAAAAGGTAAAGACATGCATGAATTATCCAATTCAAAATGAATAAGAAGCCATAAGAAAATGCCATTGATTAAACAGCGTATCTGAAATGCAGTCCCACTCTTTGAATGGGCTTCATTTCCTATTGTCTATGAACTTTCAATTTAGTTGTCAGAAACCATGGATTTATTTTACTGTAAAATGTGAAGTTTACATTTTATTAACACTTGAGCAGTCTAATTTAGAGACTGGCAACTTCTATTTTTTCAAGTAGGGGATTAACAGAGTACAGCAGAACTAAGCATTTTTTAAAAAAATATTTTAGAGTTGTAAAAAAAAAAAAAAAGAATATGCAGCAGAGAAGTGACCTGAGAAATCTAAAATATTTATTATCTGGACCTTTACAGAACATGTTTGCTGACTCCTGCTTTAAAGGATTATGAACAGTTTTCTAGAGTTGAGGAATATTTATTAAAATATCTGTCAAGGAATTAGTGAATCACTGGAGCAATAGCTTTGATTTGAGATCTTAACATTGTTTTAAAAGACTTACAACATATGAATTTTGAAATGAGTGGTGTTGCTGCCGTCCTTTGTCCAGTACGCTGAGGAACCACTGAGATTGCTCACATAAAAGGAGCTGTCAAGACCACGTTGCACTTCTAGTCAGAGAGGTGTAAACATCTGGAAAAATGGCCTCAAAAAAGGTTTCAACAGTTTATCTTCTTACGTTATTTTAAAAACTATGTGGCAATGCGATTCTGTAGATGATCAAGAATTTCAGACGTTGAGGACAATTTCATAATAAAATGTTACATTTGCATATTGCACATTTAAAGAGACAGTATGTTTTACAGAAACAAGAAAATACATTAGATACTTTATGGAACTCAGTTTTATCAGACTTTTTTGATGGGAGCCACGGAAGGTCTTCAAATTGTTACAAAATGTAAGATGTAAAGACTGCTCTTTTTATTAAGTCTTTGAAGAGGTGCATGTCATTGTTTGTACATTTGGGGCATGGCCTTGGAATAAATCGTTTTACAATTTATTTGAATACCGGACTATTTTCAGGGTTTTCTGTGTCTGAATGTCAGATGCTTACTTTTTTTTTTGGCACTTACTTTTTTTTTCGGCAATCTGGCAGCTCTAGATTATACAAATTGAGTAGCTCACTGATGAAGAATTCAGCTTAAGGAGAAATTGTACCTTACAGTTATTTAGCAGTTTATCATATGATGCTTTCACAAATGTTATATTGCATAATCTTTTTAAAATGACATAAGAATTGTTCCCATTTCTATTTATTTATTCATTTGTTTATTTATTTAGTTATCTGGCTGCTCCAGGTCTTAGTTGCAGCACACGGGATCTTCACTGCTGGATCTAGTTCCCTGAACAGGGATTGAACCTGCGCCCCCTGCATTGGGAGCGTGGAGTCTTAACCACTGGACCACCAGGGAAGTCCCAGAATTGTTCCCATGTTTAACGTGAAAAGAGTCAGATGCTGTTTAAAGGACTTCTCTAAAGATCACAGGTCTTCTGATTCCATGTCCATAGTTCTCCATTTATTCACTCAATTATTTACTATTGATGGAGCAACTACTGGGTACCATCTCTACTCTAGGTTCTGGGGATACAGCAGTGAGCAGAACAGAAAAAAGTCCTTGCCTTCATGGACCTTGCGTTCCGGTGGAGGAGACAGATATTAACATACATAAGGGAAATATATTGTGTGCTGGATGTTGATACATGGTATGGACAAAACTAAAACGGGGACGAGGGAAGTGGCGCTCTGGGGTGGGGTGGAGTTGGGCACACTTAGGTAGAGGATAAGGAAATCCTCGCTGAGGTCACCTTTGAGTCAGGATTTAAAGCAGCTAAAGGAGGAGGAAAGTAGACAGCAGAGCAAAGAGCATCCCAGGAAGACTGGATGGTGCGTGCCAAGGTCTTGAGGCAGGAGGATGCCTGGTGTGTTTGAGGAACAGCAAGGAAGCCAGTGTAGCTGGAGTGATCGAGGGGCAGAGGAGTAGGAGCTGAGGTCAAAGAGGCAATGGGCTTGGGGTGCAGATGGCAAGGCTTTTGTCCTTTGATGCTTATGAGTTGGGAGTCATTGAAGGGATCTCAAACAGGAGGAATGACCCGACTTACTTTGAAGAGGCTAACTCTAGCTGTTATGCTGGGAATAGACTGTGGAGGGATGTCTTAGGTCGTGTTCCCTGGGAAATAGACTCTGGAATGGAGATTCATACACAGGTGGTTCATTGGGGAAGAGGCTCATGATTAACACCTGTGGGGAAGGGGCCCAGTCTTGGGTGGAGGGAGGAATGGCGCTGCAATGCAGTAGCAGGCCCTTCAGCTTGTTCCACTCACCCTTCTACTGCTTGCCAGCAGGCTTCTAAGGCTTTATTCGATTCAGATTTTTTTTTTTTTGCGGTACGCGGGCCTCTCACTGCTGTGGCCTCTCCCTTTGTGGAGCACAGGCTCCGGACGCGCAGGCTCAGCGGCCATGGCTTACGGGCCCAGCCGCTCCTTCCCGGACCGGGGCAGGAACCCGCGTCCCCTGCATCGGCAGGCAGACTCTCAACCACTGCGCCACCAGGGAAGCCCTCAGATTTTATTTGTTTTAAAGACTCCTTATAGATGATCCCGTGTACTTCATATGGTAGAAGGCGAGACTGGGCTTTGTGGGCCATATGAGTTCTCTGTCCCATATTACTATTCGTTGGTCCCCACCCCCAATCTTTTAAAAAATGTAAAAACCATTCTTTGGGATGTTTAACAGAGAGGTTAAGGAACTTGCCCAAAGCCACACAGCTAATAAGTAATAGATGGATTAGATATAGGGCTTCCTTTGTGAAGGAATTTAAACAGGGAGGTAATGTAGGAAGTAAAGGAAGGAAGGGAGGAAGAAAGGAAGGGAGGGAAGGAGGGAGAGAAGGAAAAAGAAGAGAGAAATTGGGTGGAAAAGAAAATAGAGAACGAAGTCCTGGAGTTAGGTTTTTTCTTGCAGTTATAGTATAGTTTTCTTTGAAACAGTCAATGGAGAGAGAATTAGAAAAATACTCGCTTTTTTGAAACTAGGAGCATATAAGCAAATTAACTCAGGTGTGGTTGCCTTGGAGAAACCAGTCATTCAAAATACCATATTCCCAACCAAGGGCTATTGCCAGACACTTTAATACTGTCCTCCTCCGTTAGCTTACTGGGGCATGGCAAAAGATGTCATAAGCCCTCGTGTCATGGAAGAAGTGGCTTAGAGCCAGGCACGGGTTATGTGGGCCCTCACTTTGAACGGTAATGCACATTTTGAACACAAGGTGGCAGTCAAGCCCTTCCAAATGGCCTCTGCGCCCAGAAGCCTGGGTGTAATAATCTCGTTGTAAATTCCAGACACCTGAGCGCCAGGAGTAGGGCCTTGTTTCTGTGTGTGATGGATTTTTTTCATCCCTGTTTTGAGGGAAAGTGGGAAAATTATCCTGGACAGTTTTCAGGTTTAAGTGTGTAATTTCTTAGCTGCAGCCAATTCCTGAATCCTCTGTAATATCTCCTGATCATCTTGTGCAAAGAGCATTTGGTCCTGGGAAGATGATTTCTAGTGAGAGAAGCTGTTTAGTGGAATGCATTCTCTCTGATGCAAAGGAATTTTCTTGGGAGGAGAGCTCTACTGTAGGATCTCGAGATAGCCCGTTAGTTCCTCAATCCTTAGGAGCTAAATTCTTTCTCATATTGGCTTTATAGTTTATTGCATATGCAAGTGCTCTTATCATTTAGTTTGACGAGAACCAGACTATAAGTGGAGGAGTTCATTTAAGTCTAGATGCCAAAAAATGGTGGCACGTTAATTAAGGAGGGCTTTTCAGCACAAAGGGGTATTAATATCGAGTTTTTACATGGATCTGATCTGATGCAGTGCCCTAGGTATTTGCTATCATTTATTTTTCACAACCATGAGTTGCAGAATTTTGAGATGTTTTTGCTGAAAAGGAACTTGGAGATCCTTCATGGCATTGTTCATTCCACAACGGTTTGTTGACTGCCCACCATTAACAGGCACTTTCAGACCAAGAGAGAAGATTCCTGGGAGAGGCATGTTGTGTAGACCCAAGAATTCAGTTACAGAAATCAGAAGGCCCTGATTCCTCACCCTTGTAGCACAGAAGCTGTGCGACCGTGGGTTTGTTGCTTAGCCTCAGGAAACTTCAATTTTCTCCTAAATTGGTGGCAATATCTATTAGATAGGGTTGATTTAAGGATAAAATAAAAATATTAAGTCCCACTTGTTTAGGGCTTGGCACATAACATCTGTTCAGTAAATGCTATTATTATACTATGACACGTAGGACTATTATCATTTAAAGCTGTAGTACCTGGGGAGCATTTAAATTCTGATCTCCAGACCTCTCCCCAAGCCAAGTTAATCAGAATCTCAGGGGTACCATTGGCTGACTCTGTTTG